AAGTTACATTGATCTCATGCGAATTGAAGCAGCTTTAGTAATCGTGCTGTAATCCGGGGATTGAGTGGTAATTTTTAGGACATGCAAGGCTAAAATCCTGGGTTATCTACGGTAGACAGAGCACAGATAACCAATTGTGAAGTTTTGCACAGAACACAGTTTGTTTGGTTGTTTGTAATTAAGCACAAAGCTACACAATGAACTATCTGTGTTCCGTTACCCGTGGAGGGCAGTTGTGAAGTTTTGCACAGAGCACAGATAACCAATTGTGAAGTTTTGCGCTGAACAGTACAGCTAACCATGCTTTGAATATTTTTCTCTTTTTTTCTAAAATTTTTATATGTTTAATTCCTAATCAACATAAAAGTCAAAACATAAGTTAATAAGCGTGATTTATAATTGAAAAGACTTGGCTTTCATATTGAAATTATGATGAAGTACGAATATAAAAAAAAATTATAATCTCAACAAGCCAAAGAATAAATATTATAATTACTAACTTTCGCTAGCTGGTTATGTGGATGATCTATAATTTTGGTTATATGCCTTTTCAAATTTTGAAGACGAATTTTACGATAATTTAAAATGGTTGCAAAGCATTGATAGTATTCTTTGCTCCAAAACGGTGTTTATAACGTTCGTAATTGGCCTAATTTCTAATTATGCCATAAATATAAATTTTAATCTTTATTTCTTTTACACTTTATCTCATTTGTTACCACACAGTTACTTTTATATAAAAATCATAAAGTTTTACCTCGTGAAAATGTTAGAGTTAAGATATTCAACATTTTAAAGTAAAATTACATATCTGGAAATGAATTTGATTTAACAATTTATATTTTTCTACAATCCCATTTTAATCAGGTCTTCAATGAATTTAAAAGAGATGGTAGGATATAGATGGCGGTTTCAGCCGACGCTTTTAGCATTTTTTTGGGGAAATATCAGACACTAATCATAATCTTTGAAATGAACTTAGTTATATAATATCGATTTCTAAATTGCTCCTAGTGACTAGTAGTGATCTCTAGAGATTACAACGATAAAATTTAGGGCTCGATTTCCTCATTGGGAAGTATAATTTTACCTGAGCGGGCTTTCTTTAATTTCATTCAGCTATACCTCTTCGAAACTGTGGTGGTGAGCCTGGCATTTTCAATCAAAAACTTGCAAAAACCGAACATGAAAACATCACAAAAAATAAACAATAAAACCAAAGTATTAAAAGAACCGAAAATCTATTTGTAAATATTCTGTCCAAAAAAAAAGAAGACAAAATGAAACTTATTTTGCGAAAGGATGTTGAAATATTTGTTTTTTTTAGCAAAGAAATTTGGAATGGTGTGTTAGTTTTAAAAAGTTTAGAATTTGTCAATACAATTTGTTACGTATTACAATTCTGGAAGGTCTGAAACTGAGTTAAATGATAATTTAAATTTAGTAGTTAAATATACGCCGATATATCTCCAATTTAAGGTATTTACAAACAAGATTGATACACACAGTTTTTTAATACAAATATGTTTTAATATAGAAAGTGCAATGCAATTTACAATAACAGTTATTACAAATAGTTATTACAAACAATGATTTATATACAAAAGTTTGACAAACTTACAAGCAGTATAAAGTCTTCTTCCTAATCTAGAACTTCCTTGACATCTTATCGATGGTTCACGATGAGTGAGTCAATTACGAGTTGATGTAGGTACGATTCGCTTAACGGGGAGCTAGCTAGCTTTGTCCTTCGTTATTCACCAGCCACACACGCCGAGTTTTCCACGATGAAG